TTACATTGAAGTAGGTGAAATTAAAATATCATTTTCGAAATATCCACAGATGTCAAATGATGATACACATTAGTAGCACAATGAGCATATAGATTCAAGAGATATTAATAATAACAGTAATGAGTCGAACATACGAGTGTGTCTACCACGTATGCATTAGTCACCTAAATAGAAAAGAAAAAAGCTCAAAATTTAAAATCAAATCACACATAATTGCAATCTATATGCATATTATGTGATTTTTGGGCCTTGAGGCGAACATCATAAATTGGGTTCCAAAAATTTAGTAAGCATACAAAATCGTATTATAGAGTTCTATCTCAATTATTGATATGGTCAATGAATTCAATATTTCTTGTTATGTAGTTGATTGGAGATAAGATATGATATGATTAAAAAAAATTTGTCTTCAAATATTATAGCAGTTCAATTGCTTTTGTTTCTTCATTTATTATATAGTACCGTCAATATCCATGTTTTTTATTTGAAGAAATTTACTTATAATATTGACTTTATGTAACAACCTAAAGCAGCTTACCATGCTAAGCAAAAACTCAAAATTTTGAAATTCATGTCGCTAAGGACTTGACTTTACTCTTATTTAATGATCTATGTTAATTTTTGCCCGAGTCAAGTAACACTTCTCTTATTTTAAGCAAATAAATCGAATGCTACCTATATAATGAACAAGTTGAGTGGAATTAAGTAATTATTGCAACATGCGTTTAGGAACTTCTACGCTGCTTGTCTCCTTTTGTTACATTTGAAATAGATCCCATAATTCAAAAACATTATTAGGACTTATTTATAAATGGAATGGAATGGACCTAATTTATTAGATTTTTAATTTAAAAAAAAAAACTCACTGAACCTAATTTACTAAATAAAAAAAGGCAACTTATAAAAATACTCTTAAAATTAGGAGTGCTTTGAAAAATCATATAAAAAGTTTTTTAAAGGTAAAACATACTGTGTAAAATTAAAAAGTTGACACAATGACACTTTTTTTTTAATCAAAATTGCGTCACTTTTTGTGTCACTTTTGAAAGTTTGTTATCAATTTTTTATTAAAAAAAATACATACAATGTCACTTTTTAAATTAAAAAGTGATGTTTGTCACTAAAAGAAGTGAGAGAAATTTCAAAAAGAAGATTAAAAAAAATGACAAACACTAAAAAAAAGTGACAAAAATTCGAAAAGTGAGAATTATTAAAGAAAGTGACAAACATTAAAAAAAAAAAAAAAAAAGGACAGAAACTTAGAAAAAGTGGCACAAATTAAAAACAGTTACGCTGATTCAAAAAAGTGAGGAGTATAGAAATCAAATGTTAAGTGTCACTTTTATTTTTAATTAAAAAATGACATATAATGTCACTTTTTTATTAAAAGGTGACGTTTGTCACAAAAAAAGTTACAGAAATCAAGAATGTGATAGAAAAAAGTGTCAAACATTAAAAAAGTGACAAAAATTCAAAAAATATGACAAAAATTAAAAAAAGTGACAGAAATTTTTAAAAAAGTATCGAATTAAAAAAGGTTACACATTAAAAAAATTTGTATAATCCCCAATTCTTTACAATATTTTCAATAACTACTATATCCATCATCTACGAAGATGACCATGTCCTATATCTTCCTTCATGTTAACCGTCAAAAAATGGTAGTAGAGAAAGATGAAACTGTGGAAGAATCTGTAGAGAAAAGGATAGGAAAGTTTTAGACATCTAGCCAGAACTTCGGCATGGAGATTGATCTTCTCATATACACCCAAGAACTGATTTGAAAGCACAACAAAGATTAAGAAATAACAGTTTGCCCAGTTTTCTAAGTAGCAGAAAGAACGGCACTTACTTCATTAAATTCATCAAGAAGTGCATTCCTTGCTAGATTTTAACCAAAAAAATCCCTTCCTTCGAGTAGAATGATTATCGGACAAGGATTTATGTCCTTTCGTCCCAAATGAGAAATGATGTCTCAAGAAAGGCATCTTGATGAGCTTTCATGCTAGAACTTGAACTCATTTTGGGACCGTTTCCTTCATTCTCACTGCATTCATGATGATCAAACAAAAATGAGATCATCACTGTCAACAACAAAGTTCCTAGATCGCTTTCTAGCCTTTGAATCCAATTCAGCTTTTATTGCCTTTTCAGACATCTTCATACTCCGCTTCTTCCCAAAATTACAGAAAGGGCAAGTCGGGTTGTATTTGTTGATCTCAGGTGTCATATACTCCAAGCATTTAGCATGGTAAGTATGTCCACGAGTCAAACACAGCAACCACGCCAGGTTCATCGGTAGCCATTATTTTTTGGCTGCCCAACGAGGATCTCTCAGTTAAAAGCGTTGCACAAACACCACAACTTTGGAAATCAAATAATGGAGATCCTGAATTTCGTTCAGCTGATCTGGTTATTTTGTCCCGACTGAAGCCAGAGTCTTCACTATCAAAAGATCATCTCTCTTTCCAAGTTGTCGTGAGCTCAGAGAATGGAGGAATTGACCAACCATCAGATGACCCACCATTTGATCCTCTTGTTGGTTCATAGATTAGTGATGGGATTATGGTTTGGGGTTTCTGCTATACATCTGTTCAAGGGTTTGGGGGTTTGAGAAGTTTTATAACGCATTAATTATGTTGTAAAATGATTTAATTGATTAATAGGATATTAATCAATTTAGTTAATTTTTTTAGGATACAGAACCTAATTTGCCCATAAAAAAAGGGAAATATGCTAAAATTTGAGGCCCCTCTAATGATGGGCTTGAAGCACTAGCCTCACTCATCTCTATGCAAAATCGGCCATGAAACTTACTAAGCCCCCGTTTGATAGTTCTTTATCACTTCAAAAAATTGATTTTTTGACCTTTATTTCACTATTTCAACAGTCATTTTTGATTTCTTCACTCACAGGTGGCCCTCACACTTCTTTCTAATAGTCAAAAAATCAATTCTCATAATCACTATCAAACGGGCCCTAAAAGACTACAAAGATGATATAAATTGAGAAGTTGAGATGGTTGTAGCAAACATAAGTAGGTTTTCACATAGTTTAATTTGCGCAATTGTTTTTTTCGAAAAATACTGTCCACTTGATATTATGTAAATTCTCATCCATATTAACCATGTAATATTTATTAATTAAAGGAAGAAATTACAATTTTTTCTTCATTCTTAAATTATTAAACTTCAATCTTTTCTTATTAATATTAATGTCAATTGTTGGATTTTGAAACCCAATAAATTCTGGCGATGATTTAAAACCGTTGACGGATAATTTATCGACACTATAAACTTGGCTTGACTCGAAAACGATCAACACTTTTTGATGGCCCAAGTTGTGACTTTGCATTGGTGGTGATATATTAATAGCTCATTACTTGGTTATTTGTGGTTTGGATTGTCAGCCCAATTACCTTTTGGCTCATTTGTTAATCTAAATTAATCCATTATATATCCATCCCCTCCCAGGTGTTTTGTGTGTGTGTGTGTGTGTGTGGAGTGCAATAGAGAGAAGAAAAGAGAGAGAGGCAGCCGATTCATTGCTATTGAGGGCTTTACTTGAGTTATTGGTGTCTTCCTTCTTTTCCCCTCCTTGTGATATTGCATACCACCACCACTAGAGTCTTTTTTGTGGAGTGAAACTTGTGGTAACCGATTGTGGGAGTTTTGGGTTGAGCTGAGGCTGGGTGGCGTTCGTTTAGTAGTTTTCTGAATCCGAAATCAAGATTTTTCAATAGATTTTCGCGTCATCAACTAATAAAACAACTATTTAAACCAATTACATGTAATGCAATGGCCCGTGAATTTTAGTTTTTTCTTCTTTTCTCATGCCAAATGAAAATGTGATTAAATGAAATTCAAATATAAATATTAGAATAATAATTTAATGCTTGAGTTGATGCTATAAATGTAAACTAGGAAGATTTAATAAAGACACTGTCGATAAAGAATAAAAAGTTTTAAGGGTAAAATGAGAAAATCAATGTTTATCACAAATGCACACTTTTTTTTTTTAACCTGATAATAATGTAGATTAATATTATTTGCAAGCACTGTTGTTAGATAATAATAATAATAATAATAATAATAATAATAATAATAATAATAATAATAATATATGTGGTAGTGCGGTATTCTTCAATAAAGTTGGGATACTACTCATTTTATATATTGCTGATTGTAAATTGTAGACAGAGACTAGCAACTCCCAAATCTTAAAAATTAACAAATACAACCAATTTATATAAAAATAGTTTGCCGTGACATCCATACAAGATAATAGATTTGCGAAATCCACGGGAAAAAAAATAATTCGTTTTGTCTGTTTGGAAATGATTTTTTTCTCCTAAAAAATTATTTTTTTGACTGTTATTTCATTATTATAACCGTCATATTTGATTTCTTCTATCACAATTGGACCCCCACTTTTCTCTAACGGTCAAAAAATCAATTCTCAAAATCACTCCCAAATAGGCTCTATATTCTTAATGAACGATGATTGCATTTAATGAAAGAAAATGATAAATTTGACTTTACGCCATTTGATGCAAAATGGTGTGAAGCGAATTGTATGATGTCAAATGGTGCAAACTTTGATGCCACATTGGAGAGCACTTGAATAGTTGAATTTGGTGTATCCTTTGGACATGCCTAAGTCGAGATAATAATTCAAATGTTACTAAAATTTGTAAAAGATTTATACAGGGTTACTAAATTTTAAAAATTATCCAAGTTATTACTAAACCTTGCAAAAAGGTTTCCACGTATTTACTAAACTTTAAAAATTACCTCATTCATCACTAAATTTTATAAAAAGTTTTTCGGGAGTCACTAATTTAGTAATCTCTTAGAAAATCTTTTACAAAGTTTAGTGATTTCGTGAAATTTTTTCGCAAAATTTAGTGATGAGTGGAGTAATTTTTAAAATTCAGTCACCTCGTGAGTGAATTTTAAGACCCTTGAATTTTTTTTTGCAAAGTATCGAGCCTAAGTCCACCTGATTAAGCCTAATTATTAGAACGTTGATATGTCGAAAATTAACCGCGACGGCACGCCAAATCTCAAACTTCCGTTAATAGATAACAAAAATCCAGGGAAATATACATTTCTGCTAGTCTTCTCTAAATTTTAAATCGATCTTTATGATTTTCATTTGTTGAACTATATGATCTTTGTTCATTTGGAATATTTATTTCATCCCTATATTATTATTTTGTAATAGGCTTCATTGCGAGATTGCTAGGGCTTTTTACCTCATTTTCGTAATTCTATGTGAAACGGTGTTTGTTTGGATCTAAATTTGTATTTTTAATTAAAAAATCTGCACATTTTTGGGAAAATGGCATCGAATTTCGATAGATGGGAAAAAGATCCCTTTTTCTCTGCTGCTGAAGAGGTCCAGGAATCGACCGACAGGTATAAGAAGCTCTGTTTTAAATTTTTCTTTGAATCAATATTTCAGAAATGTAAATTGTATTGTTGTGAAATGATTAAATTTCGGTTTGCTCGAATGATCTATGTTTTATGGTGTGACTGCATTTTTAATAAAATGGAATTCTACAGTATAATATTATTAACTTTTCTCTGATACTTTTTGCAGGATGGAATCGACTTATAGAACTTGGATTCATGCAAGGAAGGACACCTCTGGGGCTTGGAATGCAGTTGAACTCCGAAGAGATCTCCAAACATCTCTTGGCACTGCTAAATGGCAGGTAGTTACCTACATTAAGTGAAATGTATTGACACGCATATAATATAGCAACAAATTTAAAATAACTCACATCCGGATATTGTCGAGTTTTGATTTTTATATCGGGAAATTTATGTTTATAACATTATCCTACTATGTAGTTATGAAAAGGTTGCTGATGTCCTTGATTAATGCAGTTGGAGCAATTTGAGCGAGCTGTTAGGTCGAGTTATACTAATTCAAATTCAGCTAACGATGCAAAAGATAGGCATCGAGATTTTGTAATTGCGATAGAGAGTCAATTGTCAAAGGTTGAAAGTTTTTTAAAAGAAACAGCAGTCTCTCAGGGCAAACCGCCATTGCCCTGGCTGCGATTAGATGAAGGAGAACACGAAGAGCTTGCTCTGTTTCTTTCAGGACCATCTTCAGCTTTCACAGATAAAATCTCCCAAAAGGTTCATGGTGGGGGCCAAGTATCAGAAAACTCAGAAGGGACAGGTAAACAGTCAATGCCAGAGTGCATGAGTTCGTCTCACTTGGTGGCATTGGGTCAGGTGGAGTCTAAGGAAGAGAAGTTACAGCAACATCGGAGGACAGCTAGTGCTGGTGCTGACATTGGTTCCTGGAAGATTGCAGTTGCTGATGATTCTTTACCTCATAGTTCATCCAATCCAAAACCTGATCTGCTGCCTAGAAAGATACCCAGTTTTTCAGGATTTTTAAATACCATGGAGTCCTCTATGTCTCATTTGAAGTGGTCAAAGAATGGCTACAGGAAGTTAAAGATTTCAGACTGCCATGAAGAAGCTGATACCATGTTACCTCGTTCTCAAAATTTGACCAAAGTATGCGATTTTCCTTGTTTATATCTGAAACTGTTCTTCAGATGTCTTAAATTGTTTCTGGTTAGTGTATTGCGCTAGTCCTGACAGAATCTACATTTTCTATGAAGAATATCAACGCAGTATGTGAAAGGAATAAAAGTTGCCTTGATGGATGTGATGATTATGAGAAGCAACTGTATGGTTGGTATGGTACCATCCAGAGACTATTTCGGAGGTCCCAATATCATATGCAGTACAGTCGACCTGTTCAAATTATTTTCTCAATTATTCTCCTCCTCTGCTTGATTGGTGAGCCTGATAATTGTAGTTTTTCCTTTCAATTTGATAGTCATTTTTCACTTTTATGTTACCCATTCTCTAGAAGTAAAATTTAAGTCTTAAAATGCATGCTGGTGTTCTTTCTTTTGACTTAAATAAACTTTTATTTCTTTGAGTTATCAATATTTGGTTTAGGACCAATTCTTTATATATTTTTCTCCTTTGTGCTGCAGCTAGAAAGTTTTATTCACGTCTGAAATAGATTTGTTAACATTTTAAGGTTACATGACATTGTCATCATTGGGATCATAATAAACTGGATTTTATTTATTTATTTATTTATTTTTTTCACATAGTAGCTGCGGAGTTTCAATTCTTCTTGAGGATCAATGTTGCAGATGCTTTTGCTTCCTTTAGTGCCTTGTGATTGCATAGTTACAAATTGTTTATAACTTGGTCAATGTGCCTAAGTGTATAATGCAGTCCTATTTTCTCTACGCAATGCAATAACTAAAAACTAAAGATTTAAGTGTTAGAAGAATGGGTTGGCTCCCAATAAGTGCTCAATTTATAGTCTCGAGCTCGACTTGGATCAATTATTGATCACGGTGGATCGAAACGGGATGTGTCAGTCTTACAGTCCTTGCAATTTCCTGCCCTGCACCCCTCGTTTTGCTCTCTAAATTTTGAAATTTCCAAGTTTCATCTTTGAGAGCACCAACAATTCCACCACTTTTTCATCTATACGGACAGCTTCGTTGATTAGATGGATCATCTTCATCAACCCTGCAGTAATCCTTAAGTTTGGATGATTGCTTGGATTTGGTGCACATGTTGAATGCTTCTTGTTCATAATGAATTTGGGAAAAAAATTGAGTTCTAGAAAATTTGGGCCAAACAAGGCCTAAATATGATGAATAAAATAAAAATTCCAAGTTCAATTAAACTAAAAATAAAGAAAAAAGGAACATCATCTCTTTCACACACTCCTTCCCCCACCTCCATAACCTTTTGAAAATCACCCAAAAGAAATAAGGAACAGATAATTAGCAAGTTCACTACATTGAAGTGGACACCAATTTGGAAATCTTATTGTTTTACTTGTAAAGAGAAGAAACTGCTGCGCTCCTTGAATTTTACCTCGCATGCTTGAGTTACTATATGGCTATACATTTTCAAATATTTGTTTCATAGCATGGAATACTGAAACCAATTATGTTTTGGGGGCTAAATTTTGTTATAAAACTTGGCTATGGGGTTCTGTTGATAATAATAAATAACATGCATTGAAATATCAGCTTTCTCATGCTTTTACTTTATTTATTCTGCAGTTTTATTGGCACTGCGTGCAGTCTGAGGAGGAGCTAATAACTTTTTCATTCTTATTGATCAATTAATAAGGGATGAAAACGTTAAAGAGGTTTGGGGTTATCCTGTATGGCATCACGTGACATAGGTATGTATTGTGTTCTATCTTTTAGCAATATTTTGCTCGTAAATAAATTTTGTACTCAGAATTGAGTAGTAACTTTTCCAGGTACACCATGTACCACCTCCCTCATCTCGTCTCTTCATTGTGAATCAGTTTTGTTTGTCTCAGTTATGTTGTACTAGGTAGGATTTTCGGGAATAGTATGTCGGATTTTCGGGAATAGGAGATTACCTCTATTCAGGTTTGAATTCGATAGAGAAGTCTGAAACTTGATTAATTCCACTTACCAGATGATGTTTTACACTTTTCCAGCTGCAGTTTCTTCGTGTTGTTGTACTGTCGATTGATGGAATGTACTGGAAGTTCAAAAAATAATAGTCCTTATGTTTATTGTCGATTCTTGTTTGTATTAATGGTCAATTTCCTTGTACTCTTGGAGGGAAGATTGCATATGAGTGCATATATTCAAGTGAATTATTGGGTAACAGAAGATATGTTTAATTTTTCTTAATTGCTGCTGCTGCTGTTATTATTTTTATTTATTTGTTTTATTTTGTTTGATAAATTTTGGACTGTTGTGATGTAGTAATATGGTGTGGATAATAAACATGAGGTGGATTGTGTAAATTCTACTCTCACCATTTCATTTGGTGAAATCCTTACAATCATCAGCTTGAATCAACATTACAGATCTTTTTGAGACATGAAAAAATTAGTTACATAGCATCTCTCAGTGTAGTTTTGGCATTTGTTCATGTCTATTCAAGGGGTTCAACTCCATTACCAATTTTCTAACTGGATAGGTTGATTCTTCAGAATAAAGTCTAAGTTGTGCACTTGGGTCAGGCTGCACCGGCCGTCTAGGATGCACTGACATGGATCGTGTCATAGGCCGACCACCCTCCTTTCTAGCCCGCCTAAGCCATTGTGGAGATGCAGTTTGAATGGCACTGTCCAAACTTCATAAAGCATCTTTGGCAATTTGCAGAGATCTGCTTGTGGCATTGAGCTTTTTGCTTTCTGCCAACAGTTCACCTAATATTTCTTTTGTTATTATTTTTAAAACTAAGCAAATATAACAATGAAAAATACATTTGGTCCAGTGTCATGTTTGGCCTTGCTGTCCAGGTGCCGTCTTCTTATTTGTTGACCTCAAAATTCTATAGGATCAAGCTCCCAGGCCAATTCCTTCTTCACCTATACGTCACTTGTATAATAACACCCCGTTAGGTGCAAAGGGCATCGGTTCAAATAATGGTCTGACGATTGTCTACACTCCGATGATCAAGTCACTAGCCAAAAAATATAAATGACTTGTGCAGGAAAGAAAAGTGAAAATAAATTTGGCTAGGGTTCGAGTGTTTACCTTAATGCCAATGACTTGCACATACACACACACACACATATATATATATATAGGCGAGGCATGTGGGTCAAGATTTCGGTCCATTACAAAATCCAAGCTAGGACAAAGTCAATGAGAAGATTCTTAGGAACCTTAAACTGACATGATATGACTCAGTTCAATTAAGTTGATGCCACCAATGTTCAGCATATAATGTGTGTACTATTGACTGCAAAACTTCGAAAAAATGTAAACGTTGTTAGGTTAATTGGGAAACTAGCAAGTGAAGAAGATGCTTTGATACATTAATAACTATAAGTTGAATAGAATTAAGAAAAAGGGAAAAAAAAATGCTCAAAGTTTGGTAGTCATATAGAGAATTGTACAAACAATTTAGCCATTGTTATTTCATGAATCTGACACACTGAGTTTTGACTTGAGTCATATGCATATCAAAGAAAGACTAAATTCGAAATGTGTGATTTTGTTCCCTTCAAAATCCATTGATTTTGGTAGATAGACAAAATGTAAGATTTTGATGAACCAAGGGTAGGTCATAAACATGCAAAATGCACAAAGAGAAAATGTCACTTCTTGTGCCAAAAATGTTTATAAAGTTACTTGGAAAGCTCATTTTGACATTATTACCACCATTTGAAGGGCAAATAGGAATGAATTTCTATAGGTTTATTTGGAATATAACATTTCTAGTTTCTTTATACTCCTCAATGGTGAATTGCCACGGGAAAGAATGTTCTTTTGGGGGAATAGACCTTCAGCATTGCTTGGATTCGGGGAACGCTCTGTTCTCTCTTGATTCTTGTTGCGTAAACCTTAATCAAGCTGTTCAAGCTGGCTATCACTGCTTGTGCTCCTTGTTAGGCCCTTCTAATCCTCTATTGATTACCAAAATTTCACTTCTCATGTCGAACTGTTACATATCAATGCCTTCTCAATGCCATGGTAAGTTCTGAACTTTAAGGTTTTTTACATGATCGAGATTATTTTTATTGTCTCTGATATGATGATTTTGGATTTAGATTCGTTTACTGAGCTCCCTGCGCCAGGGATTCAAGTGCCGGCTCTAAATCGGCCACCGGCTAGTCTTGTGTCGGTGCTGATGCCACCGCCTTCTGTGTCGAATGATTTGTTTGTGCCATTGCCTCCAAAAGTTAGAGAAATTCCCCGAAATTCGACGCCAGGTAATTCTACCATAGTCGACGGGGAACCAACTTTAAACAGTAATACTGTCCCCAAGTTGAGCATTCCTGATCGCTGGGATTATGTATCAGCATATGCTGCAGATATGAAAATATGTTTGCAACTGAGGATCTTGCTACTTGTGGCACTTTTTTATGTTTATTGACTGAATCATTTTACTTCAAATGTGTCGAATTCCTGCTTCTAGCATGTACTTTTGGGCCAAAAGTGTCTGTTTTTAGCAAAGTTTCATGTACTTGTATAAACATTTGTTACAATTTGGCCATCCAGTCCATATTCGTTAGTTATACTAATGAAGAGTCTACTTGGCAATCTAGTAAACATATGATTGGACCATCATGTCAATTTTTCTGTTAGTCGAACTAATTACACAGATAAAAGTTATTAAATTATAACAAATTTTAAGTTTAGTAGCCAACTTGAAGTTGAAATATCTGAAATTTAGTAACCAAAATAGATTTTTGTAAAATATTTAGTGACGACATGTACATTTATCCCTACAGAAAAGCCAATTGCTTGCTAGTGGAAAGTTTCCGAGTACAGTTCTAGCTCTAGCTGACTTAAGAACACCTTAATATGTGAGAGTACTAAGTATAAAATATAGAGTAGTTTCTATTGATATTTTGGGATTTTTTGTTTTTGAAGAATACATATGCTAATTGACATCCAACGATTGCTTACACTGATGTAGTTTAACAACTACAAATAGTAGAAATGATCTCCAGTCCACAATACATATAAGTTATAATGCTCGATGATGTGATGTTGTCACATCAACAAGTCAAACATTTTTTCTTTTGAAAAGTAGAAAAATACGATTTGACCATTGATGCGGTGGACAATTGTTATCTTGCCCATTGTGAGCTGATTAGCTACAAACAATCCTTGAATAATACATTAAAAACGGGTAAACACCATTGTTTTGATTGAAATGTTTGGTGATCGACAAGTCATTACTTGCTTTATATTACACTCAAAACACAAAGCATCATCAAATCAAGTACAAAACACACTTCTTCAAGGAATAAACCTATAAGCCCTCATTTTATCAATGCAAGAAACAAATGATGTATAAGTATTTCTGAACCCCATAAAACCATGCAACCTATTTTTGTGCGTACTGCTCAGCACATTCTCAAGACAAAATGCAATATCAGCAAACCAAAATGCAGCAATTTCCTTCAACTTAGTAGGCATCAAATTATTCTTTTTCACAATCTCGTCCCACACGGAGTCCTTATCCTTCATCAATTCCTCCATGCTAACTTGCTCGTTTCCTTCGATATATCCCACCATCTCCAAGTCAAATTGATTGGCCAAAACTTTCCATATATGTTTCCACTTGAAAAGATCTCCATTAGTACAATTGAAAGCCTGATTTTTGGCGTTTGGATCGACAGCAGCCCATATCTGATGCTCGGCAGCCAACTCGGCATCTGCAGCATCTACGAAACAATTCCACGAAGCCTTCGATCCGGGATATACTAAAGGCTTGTTCTCATGCTTGCAAATTGCAGCATAAACAGAAAGAGTACTAACAATATTCATCAGGCTACATGGGGAGAAACCAAAAATTAGTGCAGGCCGGTGGACCGACCATGTTAAGCCCTTTTTCGCCGTTTCTTCAAAGAGAATGTCTTCAAGATTATGATAGAAATTCGGTTGCTTCAGTCGAGCTAAGTCCTCGGAATATGGTGTGTCGTGTGATTCTGGTGTATCCGTTTCGAACAGTCCAATATAGTGTTTGCTTCCAGTTTGGAGGCAAATATGTTGGAGATTTGGAGCATTTGGTATGACTGAATTAAGGATGTTTTGGAACATGACAGCATTCATGCTACAATCTTCATTTCCCATCCAAGAAACATAGAAAATATGAGTAATATCAGTTAGAGAAGAAATCTTGGAAATTGTTTCTTCTGTGTTTGTAACATCACATTGGACATATTCAACATGGCTTTTGGCTAACCACGTCGGCCGGGGGCGGCGGGCCACACCGTAGACCTTCCATGGGCCGCCAGGGGTGTCGGTATATTGAAGAATCTCAGACAAACTGCTGCCAACTATGCCCGTGACACCAACTATTAGGGCAACACTCTTAAAACTTTGGATATCTCCATTCTGTTGTTGTTGAACTCCATTTTCTTGAATTTTCTTCTGCAAATCACAAGAAAAAGTTAAGGAATGCCACAAAAGGGACATGAAAGAGGAAATTAATTCATCTGATAAGAAAAAATGTTATGATATGAATCAACAAGAACTACATGCCTGTTTACAACCATTGACAGATCTGTTGAACCACCAGCTCATGGTTTAGGATAGCTTCAAGTGTGTATTGGCTAAGGGGTACTAGAAAGTAGAAACTGGTTTTACAGAATTTCTATAGAAGCATTAGTTGAAGCATATATAAATACACAAACACATATGATATTATATAATGTATAGTAATGCTACATATCATTGTATATTTCCTATTTTGCAATATATATAGGAGGTTGTACTACACGTGCATCATCATTTATAAATTTGTTTACCAATATATGTTGTGATGAGATTTGACCGAGTCAAAATCTCACGAACCAAATAAAAAAAATTCTTCAAATTTTATTTTTGTCATTAACCCATGTTACATAAGTGCAACCATTTAAGGGGTGAAGAGTTAATGATGGTTTTAGTTCAATTTATCGTCACCTCATCAATTTATAAAAAAATTTGTAAATAAAGATGTACAATAAGCATTTTCCTATTATGGATAGGGACCGGCAACTTTTCAAGAAAATTGAATAATTGATCCCCAATCGATTGGTCTAGTAGCAAGCTAGTATGCAACTTTTAAAAGGAAAAAGTTGGCCATTATCATTTTATTATAGTTGCCCAATTGATCTTGAATAACAATAACGGATCTTCGTTAAATTATTGCTGGGCCCCTTGCATATCGCACTTCAAATTTTTAGACGCTCGTAGAATTAACATAAATTAGAAATGTTGTTGTTATTGATGATTGTCGTTCAATTATAAGAAAAGGGTTGAGAACTGAGAAAATTTAGGCCCCGTTTGTTTCCCATTAATGTAAGAATGAAAATGAAAAATACAGTCGCTATGAACCCTACATAAGAGATAGAAATTCAAATATGGTAACTTGTTGTGATGATAAAATTAACAAATTTGTGAATCAAATTTCTATATATCAGCATAGACTTAATTAGTGATGATTTTCAATTCTTGAAATTCTATTGCAATATTGCATTCTTCAATTTTTTCGCTTCACGCTGTTTTCTTTCTTATACAAGCGTGGATCGCATGAATTATTTTAATATTACGAAGTTTATCTACGTTATACACAGCCCATAGGACAGAAATCTTTGTTTTGTCCTTTAGCATGATTTAGAATTTATGAAATTATATTCTTCAGACCAAAATTTTGTGGCTACAAATTAAATGGAATTTCATGTATGAATAATTAAATCCCTCATGCATCGCATGCACCATATAAAACAAAAGTATCTCAAACTTCGAAACCAAAAAGCAAATGAAAATCCATTTTAGTTTGTAAAGAAAAAGTGAAATTATCTTTAAAGTAACAGGATTTACTTTTCTAATACTTTTAAGTGTAAAATTTACTCATAAGTAAACTTATAAGATTAGCCAAACATGCTCCAAGCGACTTTGAAGTGAATCTCACCAATTCAATATGAAGATATGGAGCATTATAAATTTTTTGAAGGTAGCGTGAAAATATGATCTCCAACGTACAAAGGATCATTTACGACAGATAACGTCAAGTTCTATTTTTATTAGAAGAAGACAAAGAAAGATGATGGAGAGTTGATCGAAATGGGCACTAAACACTTTTTGAGAGATCTCCTCCAAATCACTGTTATGGCTATCGAAATCGTAAGCATCAGATCCTAATTGCTCTAGTGAATAACTAAAGAAAATAGATAAATGAGAGATAGAAGAGAAGAAGAAAATACAACATTAAGAAGAGTTTATTCATATTTAATGCCAGACTAAATGACTCAACTTTTAAAATTCATATATATTGGTGGGAAGATGATCACGACAACCTTACTCTGACAATTACCCTCTGTTCGATAGGGATTAAAATTAGAATTTTAGTAGATTTTGATAAAAATTGTTAAAATATGAGATTGAAAATTTGTGGATTTCCTGAAATATATTATAGAAATTAATTGTTGATTGTGACTTCAATTAAAATCAAGATTTAATTCTCACCAAACATGGATTAAGGTGCATGGTCAGCTTTCGATTTCGTTGGTGGTTAGAATTGGGAAAATTTCGTATCTACATCATTACGAAATTTCAAGATTTACTATGTGACATTTATAATTCGAGTAATACTTTGTGATATGGTAAATATTTTAAGAAATTCTATATACTAAATATAGACTAAAACAGTTTTTGTAACTGAAATTTTTTAAATGACTCTATGATTAAGTTGATTATTCGTTATTATCCTTCCCAAATTAATGCATACAGAATTCCAAAAATCAAAACTGGGCAAACCATATCCCATTGTGTATGTGGAGATAGTCAGACTTCTCATTGTTTTCTACTATACCTATCCATCAAGAAGCTATCCCTTTTGCAGGAAGGTAATCATTCCTTCATTTTTTTTTCTGTTTGTACATGTATGTTTCAGACCGTAAAATGAATTATAATTCAAGTTTCAAGAAGTTGCTGCAACTACATATACATTCAATTCGAAATGTGTAATTTTTCGTTCACGAATCACTTTACTAAATGTGTAATTTTTTGTTCTTTTTCAGATCAATTTTTGCACTTGCATATATTTCTTACTCACTTTCAGCCAACTGAGACTAAGTAGGCACATCATTGGACAACGCCTCTTCGTCATTATTATTTTCTACCCTATGGATACATGATTCACCCAAATAAAAAATGCTAGATATACCTTGTGGCGCATTCCTGTTTGACTACTTATACAAACTGATGCAGGAGGATTCGAGTCGAGTGATGCTGATTTGTCAGACAGCACTATGATGGCGCTGAGATACCATGAGATGGCGGATCGGCGCAAAGATGAAAAGTGAATGGCAATTATTTCCTTAATTGGGGAAATTTGACGCGTCTTTGGTAATTTGGCCATAACTTTGGCTACGGTTATCAGAATCGCTATTATGACTCCAATCCGGAAAGCTCTCTTCGGCGTGCACGTCGTGGCTACCGAGCTATGTTTTCCTTTCCAAAATTCAATTTTAAGTTATTTTTTGCTATTTTTGGTAATATTTCGTTTCCTTTTTTCCATATGTTAGAAAATTTGAATTGAGCCAAAATTTTGGCAACCTACTTATTTTACTTAATATTTTATTCTGGTAAAATTTCGGGATTTTGCCATTTTTGGTAATTTTTCCATAATTTCGTATTTCGCAACTATTTAATCCGGCTTGTGGGTTAATTTTGGTCATTCTGCATTATTAATAATATTGAGTTGATTTCATAGTATTTTCTCTGATTTTTGGGCGTTTTCTATTATTTCTTTCTTGCGAATCACCTGCTACAACAAGCCAATAAGATAATCACTATCCTAGCTAGCGTCACAAACTCTGCGACATACTAGCATTCTCAATCTTAGAGTTCTTGGCCAATGCTTGCTTTCTGGGCAATTGCTCGATTTTCATATCAACATCAAAACTAAACAACGTGGATGCATAGTAGTGTTTGAAATGTTTGAATGTACTATGCGGAAATATAATACATGGTTTTAATTTTGGGGATACGGTCTTCTAATTTTCAAACTAAATTCCAATTGTTACATATCACATTCATATATATTTCCAATAGAACTTTATAATTTCAGAATTATGAATAGAAAACACTATTTTAAAATCATGGAGTATAAATGAATGAACAACAAAGAGCATAATACTAACATTTCCACATGTTAAAAGCCACCATAGCAGTAATGTGAACATAGCAAAATATTTCAAAAGTTGAAATTAACTACACTGCTCAAACGAATAAAATCCGCCAAATAATGTTATTCAACATAAATAGACAAAAGAACAACTACTCATTCTACACTATTCAATAATCACCCCTTCATCTTTGTGTCACGCTTAATGCTATACGACACAAAGTCAAAATTCGTATAGTAGGTTTCAATAATCTTCTCACAACTATGTTTAATAGTTGGCAAACCAAGTCAGATCTTGATATGACCGAATCGAATCTCTCTGCCACTGTATCAATTTTTTATTTTTTTATAATATACTCTACATACTTTAAGGGAAGTGTTTGAGGGAACCAATTCAGCAGGGTGTTGATTTTCTAGAATAAGGTGATTTCATCATATTTTTTTTATTTTACTATATTTTCTATAGTAATTCTAGGGTAAAATTAGTTACATAGTAATTCTTGAAATTTTATGAAATACTAGGTATGGGGTGTAATTTCCATGTTAGAATTTCTAATTGATGAGAGTTATGGGGTTGGCTCAATAACAAAGTTTGGGTACAGCCGATTGAGGCTCAACTAGAAAATAGTAGGCCCTTGTAAACTTTAAAGGCTGAAGAAGGAAAATGTTCTGTATGAATGGTACTTCAACACGGTTAGTTGATCCTAAGGGTCGGGAAAAGCTCGACATATAATGTGTTTAGTGTATGCACTGAAAGGAAATCAAGTTAAGATTACAGAACAGATATGCGGCGATTGAAAACAATGTTAGGAGCCTGAAGATGTCGACAGGATGCCGCGGGATCTTTTCTGTTTAACACTTTTTCCACACTCGAAATGGCTTAGTCGATGGTAGGGTCTAGCTATTGAAAGACCACCGCATGTCATATGTTGTCAGATGCACCTCCCATGATCCTTGAAAATTTGGAGAACCAAGTACCATCCATGCTCGTTTGTACTCATAACTGCCTCAGACCTCCAAAGCGAACAACCTAGGGTTAAAGAAATAATGTAGGGAAAGGGAGATGCCTGCCCTGGGCACAAAAATCTCAAGGGCTGCACAGGCGATATATAAAAGTTCGTAGCAATGTGAGTTATACTTCAATTTGCATTGTTGATTGCGGGAGATAACCAACGTACATTCTTGCGAAAATGACATTATGATAGATGCTTCATCGGTCATAGGGTGAGGGTTGTGTTGAAGTTGTTATGTACAGGTGTACTATGGATAGAATGTGGATGCTCATCCATCAGGTGGTGGTTCTGCAATTGTGAAAATTCTTCTTACTTACCTATGTGGAGAAAAATACAATGAGCATTGTACGACAACATGAAGCACACTAACGGCTACGAGGGTGTTAGTGGATTGGATGGGGACAATGTCATGTACGTAGTATACTCCCCCCTTTATGTGGCACAACAAGGTTGCCAACAATTAGGTGTATGGCCTATATTATCGAAGAGTGCACTAATAGTGTCATCATTTATAGTCATTGTGCAACATTTTACCCATAAGCTTGTGAGTGTGTCAATTGTTTCAAACTTGTTGGCTTTTGCAAGGCAATATGTATGGCCCGAGGCACCAGACCCCGGAGACCACACGGTCAGTCTGTGTTCTTAGGTATGTTTGGCTAAGCTTCATAGTTACTTTTGAGTATTTATACTTTTTTTCACCTTAACATTCTCTTTAGTTGGTCCATTTTGCTTATTCAACAAAAATCGAGATTGACTAGACTGACACAAAGAATATCAAGATATATATTTTTGATATTAGTTCTTAATAAGCACTTTAATTGTGCAAATAACACAGAGAATTATGAACTTTCTCTGCTTTGATGTTGTAGCAAAATGGTATTGAGAACTCAATAAAATTATTAAATTCGTGAATGTAACAAAGCTTACTTAAGTAGCTATTTTTTTCCTTTTTTTTTCAACCCAACAATAATTCATCAAAATGATATTTACTCTTAAAGCAAAAACAATAAGCAAAATTTAATTGTGTTTTAGATTTGAATGAAGAGACCCAAAAACAAAGAATAATTCTATTTAAAACATTAGTTTAGGTGACACCAAATGCGGTAAAAAATGAGAAGTATAATTAAATGAGTTATTTAATTATACATTTCATTGAATTTGTCACATATCCCCACCTAGACCGGTATTATATCACCAGTGGTATTAGATAACATTATTGAGAAAATAAAGTATATTATTGTGTTATAATATCCAATTTAAAGTATTAAACATTGATTATATCTTTCTTAAGGCTCACGTAAAATTTTTACTTAGGTCGTAGGACATGTTTATTTGGAAATTATATGAGGCGGTACATTGATCATAACAAGATAATATGACTTGTCAATAGCTAGCTACAATGGTTACATAATGTCAAATTATAAATTTTCAAGATAATCTATATTTATATATTTTTGGTTCCATTTAATTTAATATTTCAAGTATTACATATGAGTTCAAAGAGAATGAAAGAAATAAATATTTTTTGTAACTTAAATATGATAATTTGATTCTGGAAGGACAATAGGTACGGTCGGGATGTGGATCATGTTTCATGTTCTTGTCCCGATTCCCTAACCTAGTGGTAGGACGGGAATAGGGATAGGGACGAGAACAATTACATTTGGCTATGTCTAATTTGATTAGTCAAGAGTAATTATACGATTTATAATGATGAAGATACGAATAGAATATCATAAATAATATTAGTTATAGTTTTCAACATACTGTAATGAAAATTAGCAGGGAATTTCTCTAGCATACCACTATCAACTTCTTAAAACAAAGCTCTTTTTTTTTTTTTTTTTTTTTAATCCACCAGGTTTCATCATGGTTTTAAAAGGTCAAAATTATTATCCACCAAGTTTCATCATGGTTCACACTTATGTTTAAAAGGTCAAAATTATTATTTTGTACTTTATCTTCGAAACTCGTGTTAAAATATATATAATTTTTCATCCCAAACTTCCATGACACAATCAAGCACCATGTTCGCTAAAATACTATACCGCAAGTGCACGGGTTGCGTTCAAGTAATAAAGTGGACTTTTGAAGTCCGGATTGTCGATCTCTCGAGAAATATTTACTTTAAATTACACAACTTTAATCAATTTGATTCTACCAATGAAAATAAACAAACACACAATAAAGAGTTGATTTTAGAAAATATGGAAAAACATATTAACTAAGAAAATAATAAAATCTTGAAAATTTCGGAGGAAAAGTGGTTGGGATTCATGGTTTCATTTAATCATCGTCTAATCAATTTCTCCACATGCCAATTAACACGCTACTCATTTACAATGTTAGATTCGATCTTTCAATTTTAGCTAATTACCTCACTCGAGTGAAATTAACCCTAATTGATTGGTTTAATCTACTATATCTCTATATCAATTACAACCAAACAACCTCATTAAATTGTTGTGAAAATAGATTATTGGACCACCTAGGGCTAGATGTATATCTCTATCCACTACGCGAATCTAGGGTTCCTACCATTTGGTCTAGAATGCACAATTTTCTCTTGAATGATGTACACTTCATGAAACACATTCATTCATTGGCCACATAAATGAAAATGCAATAAATACAATAATAGAAACACGTGAAATAAGCAACTTAACATTAAAGAACAAATATTGAAAATCAATTAAAACTAGGTTAAACTAACACCATAAATTCCAACTCAATACTTAGCTCATGTTAAATAAATGATAATCAAGGAGAATATTCATCCAATTTATTACAAATATGGCTAAATAATGGATAAAATACAAAGATATAGATAAAACCCTTTTTTGTAGATTGGCTATGATTTTCCCCAATGCTTTGTCAAATCCTTTACTAACTCCTTGAGCTCTATAAGAAAAGAAAAAAAAAAGGAAAACAAAATAAAAAGAAAGAACCAGCAGAAGACGGAACCAGAAAAATGAAGCTCTCCAAAAAAACTGCCCAGCTGCTGGTTTTTATATTAAAACCTAAGGAAAATTGCAGCTTTGGTCCCTGGGCTTTTGGAAAGTTAGCAAAAAGGTCCCTAGTTTTCTTTTTAATTACAAAACGGCGCTGCAGCGCCGGAACAGTGGTGCTGCAGCGCCTAGGTCTCTGTTTCAGCAGCTACAAAAGTCGATTTTGTGTAATCTGCAGCAAGTCCCTCAATAATTGCAGCCAAGTCCCTCAACTTTTGATCTTGTACAATTTGGTCCTCGAACTTTGGCTTTCATTTCACTTTTGCTCTCCATAAATTTCATCACAATTCTTCCACTTTTTGATTTGTTTGCCTTGGCCTCCAACTTCACAATTTTGTACAATTTTAGTCTTTTTTTTCTCATTTTTCCTCCTTTTGCCTTGTTCTATTTACTTGAGTAATTTTTAGCCTACAAAAGCAAATAATACTTAATTTCTTTTAATCAATAATAAGTGTGCAAAAACACACTTATCACACCCCCAAACTTAAGTTCTTACTCGTCCCGAGCAAGATTATCTACCACACAATTAAGCAAACGTGATAATGGTCAACACACTAAATAGCTTGCCAAAATTATCAATGAGTGTAAAATTGTATAATCAATTCACAAATATGCTCCAAATAATGCTAGCAAAAATAATTTAAGCTTATCCAATGTTTGATCGGTGTATGTGTGTAACGTCACTTTTAATCATTATCTGAATTAGGAAAAAGTTGTCAAGATGGAAAAATTTTCAAATTGGCTCCAACCCGACCCTTTGTGGTCAAATATTTCCTTTCCCCACTCGTGAGATTCATACTAAAATAGATATTATTGTACTTCCCGAGGTGTAAATCTAAGGGTTGATCTCAATCACTCATTTCTTTTTCCGCTCTAGTTTGGTTGAGTCTAACCGGCAATTTCAACATCTAGGCATGTGATGATTCTCCACTAATGAGTGCTTCCACATTCAAGTTTATATTAAGCAATTCAAACCCACTAGTTATCTAAGCCCAAATATGAATAACAATAAATTTTTTTTTAAAGCCGAATCTCATGTTTTACCTCACTCCCTTAAACTTTCTTCTTGACCCTTGTAGCGAGTTTTAGGTCGATAACTCCCTGGTTGTTTAGGCCAAAGGGTACCGGGTTTCAAAATACCCCTACGAACTTAATAACTCGAGTCAAAAAGGCTACAAAGTGAGGCCCAAGATTCAAACAAGTACAAAAACTTCATTTTTTTTAACACAACAAAAATGGGGCTTAGATCACTAGCATACGATCATTACCTAGTTTACACTCGGCAAAAGACACTCCACACAAATATTTTCAACATGCACGGAATCACACACTTCTAGATAATCTCCTTCACCGGCTCGACCACCCCCAAACTTATCTCACAATGTGGTAAAGTGAAAGAAAAGATAATATAGATTGATAAAAATTTCCAAACAACTCACAAGTGACAACCTAGTTCAACCAATTCAAAAATATATCCTTCAATCAAAAATTTTCCACATCTAGATAACAATTAATCATCACTATTGTGCTCAAAGTAATTCAAAATCTCACAATAGATAAGCAATTTTTTTTTGAAAAAATTACACACAAATAGCATATTTGGTCATATATGCATAACTCATGAATCAATAACAATTTCAAACGTCAAAACCATGCAAAGCCGGTAAGGCTATCTAACATATCAACACAATATCACCAATTCAAGCACCCACCAAACTTAAACCGCACATTGTCCTCAATGTGTAAAGAACAAGATAAAGATGAGGGGGATAACGAAACTTCCCCGGTTGGACTTTTTGAAGAGGTCCCAATGTTTGACTTGGACTTGTAATGCTCTTGAATTGCTAGGGCAATTAACCCTTTTGTACACTAATTTACCCCCAAACTTGTTGAGATCTATTGGTGGCTAGGACTTCAAAAATTTTGACCTACAAAAGAATTTTATTAATTCAAAATGTAATAATAAAAGTATTAATCACAAGTATCATAAACAAAAGTGTTAGGATAAGAAAGTTGGGTTGCCTCCCAACAAGCGCTTGGTTATAGTCCCTAGCTCGACTATAGGCCTTGTTCACTCCAAATTGGCAAGAGGAATGGAGGACTTCTCCTTAGAAAAATCACCTCCAAAGTATGGTTTCAATCGTTGCCCATTAACCTTGAAGTTCCCCTTTTCCTCATGATGAAGTTCAATTGCTCCATGTGGAAAAATCTTAGCAATGGTAAAAGGACCAGACCATCTCGAGCGGAGCTTTTCGAGAAACAATCGGAGTCGAGAATCGTAGAGAAGAACTTGTTGCCCAACAAAGAACTCGTGTTTCATAATGTGTTTATCATGCCATTTCTTTATCTTTTCTTTGTAAATTTGAGCATTCTCATAAGAGTCAAGGTAGACTTCATCCAATTCATTCAATTGGAGCAATCTTTTCTCACCGGCCAATTTCACATCAAAATTCAAATCTTTTACTGCCCAATAAGCTCGATGCTCAAGTTCTACTGAGAGGTGGCAAGCTTTCCTAAACAAAAGACGATAGGGAGACATACCAATAGGCGTTTTGAATGCGGTACGATAAGCCCACAATGCATCATCCAATTTCTTGGATCAATCTTTTCTAGAGGTACTCACTGTCAATTCAAGAATCCTCTTCAACTCCCGATTCGAAATTTCAACTTGGCCACTAGTTTGGGGATGATAGGGAGTGGCTACACGATGCTTTACTCCATATTTGGTCAATACTGGGTCAAAAAGGAGATTACAAAAATGTTTACCTCTATCACTAATGATAGCTCGGGGGTTGGCATAGCAAGAGAAAATATTTTTCTTAAAAAAGTTTACTACCACCCGAGCATCATTAGTGGGCAAAGCCACCGCTTCTACCCACTTTGACACATAATCAACCACTACCAATATGTATTGATTTGAGAATGAAGGAGGAAAAGGTCCCATAAAATCAATACCTCAAACATCAAAAATCTCCACCTCTAATATAGAATTCAAAGGCATTTCATTTAGGTTGGAAATATTACCACTGCGTTGGCATTTGTCGCACTTGGAGACAAGAGTGTGAGTATCTTTGAATAATGTGGACCAATAAAAACCGGATTGAAGTACCTTTGATGCGGTTTTCACGGCCCTGAAGTGACCACCATAGGGTGAGGAATGACATTGTTCAAGGATTTGCTCCATTTCATCTTTTGACATACATCTCCGAATAATTTGATCCGGGCCCCGTTTGAACAACAAAGGATCGTCCCAAAAATAATGCTTGATGTCGGCAAAGAACTTCTTCCTCTGTTGGTAAGAGAGATCCGGGGGAATGATGCCACTAGCAAGAAAGTTCACATGGTTCACATACCATGGTATATGGGTGACTTGTGGAAGATGCATAATTTGCAAGAGTTGTTAATCGGGAAATACCTCATTTATCTCCCCATCTACCATCTCTTTGGTTTGCTCAAGTCAAGAGAGATGATCGGCAACAACATTTTCGGTCCCTTTTTTATCGTAAATTTCCAAGTCAAACTCTTGTAGAAGAAGGATCCATCTAATTAACCGAGGCTTGGCATCTTTCTTTGCTAGCAAATACTTGAGGGCTGAGTGGTCCGTGTAAACAATCACTTTCGATCCAATGTGGTAAGATCAAAATTTATCAAATGCAAATACCACTGCGAGAATCTCTTTTTCAATAGTGGCATAGTTCAGTTGAGCATCAGTCAAAGTCCGGCTAGCATAGTAAATAACATACAAGATTTTATTTCTCCTTTGTCCCAAAACTGCTCCAACGGCATAATCGCTTGCATCGCACATAAGCTCAAATGCTAAATTTCAATCCGGAGCTACAATAATAGGAGTCGTGATGAGTTTCTCTTTAAGAGTATTAAAAGAATGGAGGCACTCTTGAGAGAAATCAAATTGAGTGTTCTTCTCAAGTAAGGAGCAAAGTGGCTTTGTGATCTTCGAGAAGTCCTTGATAAACCTCCTATAAAATCCGGCATGTCCCAAAAAACTCCTTATCCCTTTCACTGAGGTAGGTGGAGGTAATTTCTCAATGACTTGGATTTTTGCCTTGTCAACCTCTATCCCTTTACGTGAAATCCGATGGCCGAGAACTATGCCTTCTTGGACCATGAAATGACATTTTTCCCAATTAAGTACTAAATTTGTCTCCTCACATCTTTTCAACACCATCTCTAAATTGCTCAAAGATCCGTCAAATTAGGCCCCAAATACCGAGAAGTCATCCATAAAAACCTCAATACATTTCTCCACCATGTCGGAGAATATAGCAATCATACACCTTTGGAAAGTGGCGGGTGCGTTACAAAGGCCAAATGGCATCCTTTTATATGCAAATGTACCATATGGGCATGTGAATGTAGTTTTCTCTTGATCCTCTGGGGCTATATGAATTTGATTATAGCCTGAATACCCATCCAAAAAATAATAATGAGAATACCCCGCTAACCACTCAAGCTTTTGATCAATAAAAGGAAGAGGAAAGTTATCCTTCTTTGTAGCCTTCTTAAGCTTACGGTAATCTATGCATACCCTCTAACCGATCACGAGTCTAGTAGGTATAAACTCATTATCCTCATTTTCCACAACCATTACACCTCCTTTCTTTGGCACCACTTGAACGGGGCTCACCCATGCACTATCTGAAATCGGATAAATAATGCCCGCATCAAGTCACTTTCCCATCTCGGCTCTTACCACTTCTTTCATGTTAGGGTTTAACTGCCTTTGATGCTCTACTGATGGTTTGAAATCATCCTCCATAAGGATTTTGCGCATGCATAGTGAAGGACTAATTCCCTTAATGTCTGCAATAGTCCAACCAATGGCTCCCTTATGCTCCCTCAACACTCGAAGTAACTTCTCTTCCTCCAATTCATTTAAGGAATTAGCAATGATAACCGGAAGCATAGATGACTCTCCCAAATAAGGATACCTCAAATGAGATGGAAGAGGCTTCAAATCAAGTATAGGTGCCTGCTGAAGAGATGGCAGTGGTGGTGAAGAGCTCTTTTCCAAGTCCTCATAATTTGGTGTTCTCTTATAAGATCGAGAATGTATAGCTTCCAAATAGTGTACCATATGCTCAACTTTAGAATCTTCCTCTTTGATAGCTGAAGGACAAACAAGACATGTTTTTAGAGGATCCTTAGAAAGCCTGTAAAAAGACTCGACAACCACATGATCAACAATATCCACTCGAAGGCATGAATCAGATTCCGATGGATACTTGATGGCCTTCAAGATATTGAATGTAACTTTTTCATCTTCGACTCTCATAATGAGCTGTCCCTCTTGTACATCAATCAAAGCTTGGCCAATGGCAAGAAACGATCGTCCTAAAATGATAGGGATGTCATGATCCTCTTCCATGTCAAGAATTATGAAATCGGCTGAAAATATAAATTTGTCCACCTTGACCAATATATCCTCAATGATACCCCGAGGATATTTAATTGATCGATCAGCCAATTGTAATGATACAGTGGTGGCCTTAGCTTCTCCCAATCCCAGCTTCCTGAAAATAGACAAAGGCATCAAATTAATACTGGCACCAAGATCACATAAAGCTTTACTAAAATTTAAATCTCCAATAGTGCATGGAATAGTAAAACTCCTGGATCTTTGATTTTCGGTGGTAGCTTCTTTTGAAGGATAGCACTACACTCTTTCGTTAGCATTACTGTTTCATGTTCTTTGAGTTTCCTTTTGTTTGAAAGAATGTCCTTCATAATTTTGGCATAACTAGGCATTTAAGCTAATGCATTGGGAAACGAAATGTTTATGTGTAGCTTCTTGAATACCTCCAAAAATTTCCCAAATTGAGCATCCAATTTCTGTTTGTGAAGCCTTTGTGGGAAGGGAATAGGAGGCACATAGGCTTTGACCGGTATTGAAGCCTTTAATGTTGATGGCTCCGGTTTTTCTTCAATTAGTGTCTCATCCTTTGGATCAGGTTCTTGCATAATCCTTTCTTCTTCAATAGGTACCTTATCGGTTTGATCCTTAGGGCATGTCACTGTGATTTCGGGCAATTTCACCCCACTTCTAGTGGTAATAGTTTGTACATTCTCCCTTGGATTTGTTTCGGTGTTGCTAGGTAATGCCCTCTGTTGCCTTTCGGAGATAAGTTTGGCAATTTGACCCACTTGAAATTCCAAGTTTTTCAAATAGGCATCATTGCGTTCTTGATATTGCAATTGATAGTTTGCCAACTTAGCAATGACCTCTTCCCAACCTTCTTTTTTCTCTTGTGGCCTCGGGTTGAGCACATTTTGATTATTTCCATAAGAAAAGTTCGGATGATTTCGCCAACCGGAGTTATAAGTTTACGAATAAAGATTGTACCCTTGGCGTTGAAAGTTTTGAGTATATGTCACTTGCTTGGTAGATGCTGAACCACTACCTATCAATGGACAACTCGGGCTTGGGTTATTTGCTCCACAAATATTACAAATAGGCAGAGATTGTACCATATGAGTGGAATGAGAGATCGAGGTAGATGTAGAAAGTCCTTCTACCTTCTTTGCTAGAACCATTGAGAAAGCTTCACCATCTCAAACTCTACCAACCCCTCTTTGTGAACCTCTATTCGGCCACATAGCACTTTGTTCACTCATGACCTCAAATAGATCATATGCTTCCCGAATACTCTTCTTCTTGATTGAGCCATTAGATGATGAATCCACATTTGAACGGTAAGAAGGAGTCGACCCAGCATAAAAATAATTCACTTGTTGCTCCATTGTGATTCCATGATTTGGACATTTTCGAAGCATATCCTTGAACCTCTCCCAAGCCTCGTGAAAGCTCTCAAATTCGAATTGTTGGAAAGTGGTTATGTCATGCTTAAGTTTGGCTATACGGGCAGGTGGAAAGAATTTGGTTGTGAATTTTTGAATAAATTCCAACCAACTATTTATACTTTTGGGCGGTAGAGTCTCAAGCCATTCCCTTGCCTTATCCGTCAATGTGTGAACAAATAACCTCATCTGGATCGTCTCCACATTTATGCCTTCATATCTAAAATTTCCAACATTCTCTATGAATCGTGCAACATGTGAGTGAGGATTCTCATCTGAACGAAGTTGAAAGTTTGGATGCCCATATGGAGGGTAGACAATACTTGATTCATTCTCTAATACAGGTGGATTGAAGTCCCCAAATAGCATATCTTCCTCATTTACAATAGGCTCTTGAGCTCTACCTGCTTGGTTACCAAAACCCGATGGAATGCCACCTCGAGGAACATGTTCCGGTTGAGCATTATGTTCCAAATTACCCCCTTGGTGTGCCATCTCAATCAATTGTTGCCTTCTCAATTCCCTTTGTTCCCGTCGCCTTCTTCGGAAAGTTTTTTCAATATTTGGATCAAGCTCGAAAAGATCAAAACTTCTCGAACGAAGCATGCACCACCAAAGACCTAAAAAAATCACACAATAAATATATAAAAGCTACGCAAAAGAAAAAAGAACAAAACTTGTAAAAATTAGAATCAACAAAAGATGATAATTGAAATAAAACACTCCCCGACAACGGCGCCAAAAACTTGTTCGCTAAAAAACTATACTGCAAGTGCACGGGTCGCGTTCAAGTAATAAAGTTGACATTTGAAATCCGGGTTGTCGATCCATCGAGGAATGTTTACTTTAAATTACACAACTTTAATCAATTTAATTCTAACAATGAAAATAAACAAACACACAATAAAGAGTTGATTTTAAAAAATAAGGAAAAACGTACTAACTAAGAAAATAATAAAGTCTGGAAAATTTCGGAGGAAAAGTGGTTGGAATTCATGGTTTTATTTAACCGTAGCCTAATCAATTTCTCCACATGCCAATTAACACACTACTCATTTACAATGTTAGACCCAATCTTCCAATTTTAGCTAATTACCTCACTCGAGTGAAATTAACCCTAATTGATTGGTTTAACCTACTATATCTCTATGTCGGTTACAACCAAACAACCGCATTAAATTGTTGTGAAAATAGTTCATTGGATTACCTAGAGTTAGAGGTATATCTCTATCCACTACGCAAACCTAGGGTTCCTACCATTTGGTCTAAAATGCACAATCTTCTCTCAAATGATGTACACTTCACGAAACACATTCATTCATTAACCACATAAATAAAAATGCAATAAATACAATAATAGAAACACATGACATAAGCAACTTGACATTAAAGAGCAAATATTGAAAATCAATTAAAACTAGGCTAAACTAACACCATAAATCCCAACACAATACTTAGCCAATGTTAAATAAATGATAATCAAGAAGAATATTCATCCAATGTATTACAAATATGACTAAATAATGGAGAAAATACAAAGATATAGATAAAACCCTTTTTTGTAGATTGGCTATGATTTTCTCCAATGCTTTGCCAAATCCTTTGCTAACTCCTTGAGCTTTATGTTATATCTCCAAAATAACCAAGGAAAAGAAAAGAAAAAGAAAAGGAAAAGAAAATGAAAACAAAATAAAAAGAAAAAAGCAGCAGAAGACGGAATCATAAAAATGAAGATCTTCCAAAAAAACTGCCCAGCTGCTGGGTTTTATATTAAAACCTAAGGAAAATTGCAGCTTTGGTCCCTGGTCTTTTGGATAGTTAGCAAAAAGGTCCCCAATTTTCTTTTTAATTACAAAATGGCTCTGCAGCGTCGGAACAGTGGCGCTGTGGTGCCTGGGTCTCTGTTTTAGCAGCTACAAAAGTTGATTTTGTGTAATCTGCAGTAAGTCCCTCAAGTAATTGCCGCCAAGTCCCTCAACTTTTGATCTTGTACAATTTGGTCCTTGGATTTTTACTTTCATTTTACTTTTGCCTCCATAAATTTCATCACAATTCCTCCACTTTTTGACTTGTTTGCCTTGGCCTCCAAATTCATAATTTTGTACAATTTTAGTCTTTTTTCCTCATTTTTCCTTGTTCTCTTTACTTGAGTAATTTTTAGCATACAAAAGCAAATAATACTTAATTGTGAGTAGAATTTCATTCTTTTAATCAATAATTGTATCAAATTAAGTTCCCAATAAGTGTGCAAAAACACACTTATCACACCCCATGGCCGATTTGTCTGGTATAAGAAATTTTCTTGCATAGTGTAATTGTTGGTTTGGATGTATATAATGCATTCTTTCAAAGCTCAATGAGGAGGTCGATAAGATGCAATAGATTTTTGTTAATCAAATGTCTTTCATACCAAATGAATTCGTCTGGATAGCTCTTTGTGGACTCAAACAAGTGACGTGCACTTAAAACAACAAATTAAAAGAATTTCTTATCTCCTATGGTGAAATTCAAAAATTTGATGCCTCATGATTTATTTACTTTTGAAATCTTTCTATGATATTCTTGTTACTACTCTACACTTGTTCAAAATCTTGGTGAATCGATTCTCACTAAGGACCTTGGTGATCTTAAATTATTGATTAGATTAATATGAAGGAGTGAAATCACCAATTAATTGATGATTCTTGGAAGAGAAGTTGAAGAGGGCGTAAGGTTCTTGATGATTAAACTGTGAGTACATTGAGTGTGTGAGAATTGAGGAAACAGTGTGCCTCTTCTGTGATCTATGCTAGCCGGTCACCCAGTATAATACTGGACCGGCCAGTTGGTGGTTTTGAAGCTTGTTGGCTTTAAGAAATCTCAAGCAGTTGCTCAGAATTATTGCCCGGGCCCATCAAGGCTACAAGCAGCCTTTTTTTCTGAACCATAAGTTGTATGTGTCGTGTTTAAGTATTTTTATGATTAAATTTAGATTTTTAAGCATAAATTAGTGCTTGTGTGCATACGATGAATTTTGAAATTACCTAAAACAAGTTAAAAATTATATGAATGCATAGATAAGGGCCCAAAAATACTATGCAAATCCTAAAGCAATACATAATGCAATAAGCAATAAGAATAAAAAATACGGGATAGGAAAATGGGTTTCTTGCCATCAAGCACTCGATTTGTCATCTATAGCTCGACTTGTGGTTTATTCACTTCAATGTTGCATGATGAATGGTAGAATTTTCTTTCGAGAATTCACCATTCCAAAATTGCTTTAACCACTGTTCATTAACTTTAAATATTCCTTTGCTTTCAAGAGTGATCTTAATAGCCCCATATGGAAAAAACTTGAGTAATTGTGTCTGGCCCCAACTACCTTGACCTTAAGTTTCCTGAAAAAGTCTTTGAATCATGAATTGTATTGTCCAACTTCCAACTTTCTTCTTCAAAATGCATATCGTGTCACTTTTTGGTACGCTCCTTATAAAACTTCGCGTTCTCATTGGCTTCCAACTGAATGTCATCCATTTTATTTAGTTGCAGTAGCCTCTTTTCATCAGCTACTTTCAAATCAATATTTAAGTTCTTAACTGCCTAATAAGTTCGATGCTCTTACTCAACTTGTTAATGAAATGATTTCTAAAAAATCAGACGATAAGGAGACATGCCTATATGGATCTTGAAAACTATTCCATGGTCCACAAAGTATCATGAAGTTTTTGGCACGTGTTTTATGCAACATGATTTAGCCGCAAGTGTACGGTGTCAAGTTTTGTAATATAGTATTGAGGTAAGAGTGTCGAACCTACAGGGATTGTATTTAATTTTCATTAAGTACTATAATTATGCAATTTCTACTTTATTTAGATGAATATATGATTGAATTGATGTTTTATGAACGAACGATTTAAACTAAACTAACGTGATTGGATGTGACAAATTTAGGGAATACGAATTATCAAATGAGAGGGCCTAGGGATTGATTTCACCTAACTTTCAATTATGATTCAACGAATTCAAATTATTCCAATTAATTTATACATATTTAAAAGCGAGAATCCTAATGTATTTCCAACTCCCTATCTCGAGCACCGATTAGAAATTAACCCTAGATCTCAATTCTAACATCTCTGTTCAAAATTGAAAATCAAGAATTTAATAAAGATCCAATTCTTTTATGGAGTAAGCTTCACAGATTTATACTTTCTCTCGAAACCTATAAATTCTATGTTATATCACTCTCATGATCACGTCTAAATTCCCACTCTCTCTAGCGTGGAAATTAACTAGCATCAAATCATCCAATTGTTGATCAGGCAATTGAAAGCATTAAAATTATGATACAATTAAATATATGCGGAAAAATCAAAGAAATAATTATAAAATCATCAAACCATAATACTGATTTGGCTACATCAAACCCATAGATAAATTGTTTAATTCATGGTGTAATAAATGAAAATCATACAAATTATAATAAACAACATAAGGAAAATGATAGAAAAAACTAGTCTTTTGGGTAGATCTTCAATCTTCTTTCTTGATGTTGTTCCTCCTTCCTTTTGATGTCTTCAATTTTTGCCGCCTTCAAATTGTGTGGTTGAATTCTTCAATCTTTCCCCCTTCCATTCTTTTCGAAAATTGGGTTTTTGAATGGTATTTGTAGTATGTTAGGGGTCTTCAACAAAATAGGGTTAAATTGGGCCAATAAAAGAGTCCAAAAACATAATAACGTGTTCTCCCACATATCTGGCGCCTCGGCACCAAATATGAGTGCTGTGGCGCCGCCTATTCTGTTACTTTTCAGTCATATGGGCGCTGCGGCGCTCGGTTCGATAGAAATGGCAGACTGCATATTTTTCAGTATTTTTAGCATAACTTTTGCATCTGATGTCCAATTGAGGTGATTAAAGTGCATTGGAAAGCTAACTCAAAGAGCTACAATTTTTCTTCAAGCATCATTCATCAACTTGATCGTTTGCTATGATAAAAATGGGTCTCAATTTGAGGCTGAAACTCCGAGGCATAACTTTTCGGTTGGAAATTGATTTGTGATCATATTTTGACTAAATTTGATCCCTTTGACATCTTTTTTCATCCAATTGACTCTTAGCACTCTTGGATCATCATTGTGAGGTTCAACACAACTTTTCAATATTTGCACGTTAGTCCCCGAAATTGGATCTCTTACAATTTGGCTATTTTCTCAAATTTCACCAACTTTTGCTTATTTCTTTCAGTTTCATCAACCTACATCACAACAAAACACAAA